GCAGGGGCCCTTATAGGAGGGGAACTCACAGACAGTGGAGGGTGGGGAGGATTCTAACTGCCAATGGCAGGCTTGTATAAAGTCAACAACCATTGGTGCTAAATTCAATAGACATGGTGTCTTAGTGTTTGTTGTATCAAATGTTCAGCTATTTCCTCAACACTACATGGAAGAAAGTACAAACAGAGAGGGGGGTGACCGCAATTAATCAAAATCGATTTTAAAAGCATTTTAAGTGTGTGTGTGTGTGTGTGTGTGTGTGTGTGTGTGTGTGTGTGTGTGTGTGTGTGTGTGTGTGTGTGTGTGTGTGTGTGTGTGTGTGTGTGTGTGTGTGATAAGGCAGTTAGCAGACTTTTCTCCCCCAAAATGTGTTGATGAGGCACCTTCAAACTAAGAATGAGTATATGTGGGTTTACAATACCACTACAATAAAGGTTTATCATTTTCAAAACTTCAGATATCTGATGATAGTATAGTCCTTTTTCTCTCAAGTATAATATAATTGATTCTATTGTTTCCATCATTGAAGGAAATGATCATAGACGACTAAATAACATTTTCCGTTTTTAAATACTTATTTAATCTCAATTTAATCAGTCAGCCTCATTAACATTCATAAGAGATTTGAAAACAACAACAGCAGAACAGAAACAACACAACAGAATGAACAAGCGTAACAACCCTAAAATAACTAAAGCTAAAATCTCCCAGTGAGTCAGTGCAAGACTCAAAGAAGAAAATGAATAGAGTAATATGAGAGAGGAGAGGTGAGGTAGTTCGGAAGCTCCAACAGTAGATCTTTATAACTGAATAACATATGATGGATTTCTCTTCTTCACTGGAAGGAATTCCAAAAACGTTTTTTTGGAATTCCTTCCAGTGAAGAAGAGAAATCCATCATATGTTATTCAGTTATAAAGATCTACTGTTGGAGCTTCCGAACTACCTCACCTCTCCTCTCNCTGTAAGTCGGTTTATTGTCAAATTCCACAGGGAGGTCAAAGCACAAGCGCAGACTTTTTTTATTTAAAGTTGCGAGAGATAAATCGGAAGTTAATCTTCTTTTTTGAAGTTCTCTGTCTTGACCTTGGGTTTTATTGATAGTGAGGAGGAAGATGTTGAATTTGGATTTTTAAAGTGAAAAATAGCTCCTGCTAGTGAATGTGTGTGGGATTGGCTCAAACCAAGTAGCATAGCAGGAAACATTGTAAGACATACTTACGTTTAACCAGAAATTCAATTCAAATGTATTTCTTTAGCAGTTCTAAATACTAATACACATCTTTATATATTGTGATGTTATATATTGCAATACAAAGTGCACATTTTTCCTTGGGTGCATAAATACTGAATGGCTTTGAAGGTGCTAAAGGCCAATGCAAAATCTAGAAACCATCTTGGCCCACCTGTCCCAATGCCTATGGTTTATCATCAAAACATTAATGGCTATTTGTTGACTGATGGTGGAAGTTTTTCTTGCCAGATGTTTTTCCCCCGCATCTGTGGATCTTGTTATCTGGGAGATCTTTAAAATGATGCTGGCGGATGATTTTTTTTTCTCTGTCCATCTGTCCCCTATGTCTAATCTTTCTTGTTTACCTTCTCCTTGTTTTCTCCCCTCCCTCCCTCCCCCCTCTGCACCCTCCTTCCTACCTTGTCCACTCCCTCATGTCCTCCTCAGGGCTCTCTGAGTCGCTACCTGGGCCTCCAGATCAACGATTGGGTCGGCAGCTGTCGGCTCGCTCATTCCGTCACCCGTGGCCTGGCGTACCTACACACTGAGCTCTTCAAAGGAGGTGAACTGGAGGACGCACACACACGCGCTGTTAATTACGTAACTGCTCACAGTTTACACAGGCTCAAGTTCCATGGCTGCTGCTTCCATCTGCTACAGAAACACAAACACTGAACATGGAAAAGCTTTTTCTGTTTGTAGCCCTGTTAGTTTGAGAAAGGATTTAGTTTGTGTGTATTACCATCTCCAGCCTGTCTCGCTGAGTCGTGCTTTAGACTTCTAACGGCCGGCACACTGTAGCTCCACGTGGGTCTGTTTGGCTTGGAGCACTTTGCATCCCTGCATTTTGACAAACGTGCACAACCGGCCTTGTGTATTTATAGACCGGCCTCAAGCTAGCCTCAGAGTGAAAAAATAGTGAGCGGGACAAACTAGGGGCAGGACAGCGGATGCAAGATAGGGATTCAGATGACATGTGAACATCCCCGCGGCTCGATGAAATCAGTCGTTTGAGGCAGAAGTGACTGAAGTAAGCCTTGGCTGTTTTTTTTCACATCAACAAACCTCAGCCTCAGCGCTCCCCACTCATTTCTTTTCATCAGCACAGATACACATCAAACAGGCTAACAAGTGAAGGGGGTAGAAAGTGTTCTTGCAGTAGTGTGTGAAGGCAGGGAATAGAATTAATGCTGTTTGTGCAAGCATGTGACAAGTACACGAGGGGTTGTCCATCTCCTTTCCTTTTCACTGCAAGTGATGGGCAGAGGAGAAAGCTAGAGAGAGAGAGAGAGAGAGCTAGAGAGAGAGCTTGTGTGTAATGGCACAGTCTCTCAGGCTTTGGTACATCCTCCCCCACTCCTCCTGCACATCAGTAGAAGGCATTAGATAACTGTGGTGGCCGCCCTCTGCTGGACTGTGAGATACTGCAGGCAGAGGCTTCTGTGATATGGTCTTAATCCCATTGTTGTAGATTAGATTAGAGGGTTTAACTGTCTGTTAACAGTGCAGCTTGCTCTGGTGAACAATGACTAATGGGAAGAATGGAAAGCTATATGACAGGATTTACTGGATGTTATCATTTGCAAATGTCACAACAACTGCCTGAGTGAATGATTTATTTGAAGCAAAGTATTTGCTAACACTGTCCAGACTTACATGTTGAATGACAGATATAATAGCTTCATCTTGTGTCTGATTATTTTATTTTTTCCCTTGTCCAGACGTGTACAAGCCAGCCGTGTCCCACAGGGACCTGAACAGTCGCAATGTTCTTGTCAAGGCTGACGGCACTTGTGTCATCATCGATTTTGGCCTGTCCATGAAGCTCACAGGAAACAGGACCGCGCGCGCAGGAGAAGAGGAAAACGCTGCCATAAGTGAGGTGAGTGCTCAGGAGCATTTAGACTTTATGTTTGAGCTCATTGCCACAGAAGACAATCAGAAGAATACAGTTTATCACCCATCAGACCACACCTTGTCCTACTTTCTCTTCCTGACTCACTTTAATTTTTTCTGCTCCGTCTGCCAGGTGGGGACGATCCGCTACATGGCTCCAGAGGTCTTGGAGGGGGCGGTGAACCTGAGGGACTGTGAGTCGGCGCTGAAGCAGGTGGATATGTACGCCCTGGGCCTGATCTACTGGGAGACCTTCATGAGATGTACCGACCTGTTCCCTGGTAAGACACACAGACACGCTGTGCGAAGGCTATTTTGAATGGTATTAATATGTCTCCAAATACACCAATGGTTGTTTTCCCTTTTTTACTACCATCATTATCACAAGCAACACAAGAATGAGCCCCTCTCACGCTACACACATTAGTAAGCCATTAAATACACATTTATAATGGAGGGTAGCAGACAAAATACAAAATAGAAAAAAAATAAAGCTAAAATATTTTCTCTGCTACATTAGAAATATCTACAACACACCCCTCCTCTTTTTGTCCTCCCTCTAGGAGAGTCAGTGCCAGATTACCAGATGGCGTTTCAGGCGGAGGCAGGGAACCACCCGACGTTTGAGGACATGCAGGTCCTGGTGTCCAGGGAGAAGCAACGGCCCAACTTCCCAGAGGCCTGGAAAGAGAACAGTTTGGTAAGTTTGTGTGTGAGCCACACTCTAAATGATAAAACACTCATCAGATTGTGAAACATGTCACTACAATGTTTTTGTTGTTGTTGCTTACTACCGTAATTTTCGGACTATAAGGCGCACCTGAATATAAGCTGCACCTGAATATAAGCCGCAGCAGCTAAATTGAATGATGTGTACATATATAAGCCGCACTGGACTATAAGCCGCAGGTGTTTTAATGTTTAATTACCATATGTAAGGGTTCGTGCACAGAGGGGATTGTCGGGAAAGAGATGGCTGTTTGAGGAAGCTCCCATTTATTAACATTTCAACAAACAAGTTGCATATTTGCATAACGTATTCAAGTGTTACCATTTAGTGCAATAGTAGCTACAGAACATGTACTGTGCTGTTAAACTGTACTGTATCACATAGCGTTTCAGACACACAAACTTTTCAACTTTCAAACTTAAACGGTGCGCTCCCAGCGCACGTACCGGCAGTGATCTACAGCAGTGGTTTTCAACCAGTGGTACGGGGACAAACTGTCTCGCTCTCGTAATGTCTGTCTGTCTTGCTCTCGTTCTGTCTCTCGTACCACTCTCGGTTCCACTTTTACGCGCGCTACCTGTCTCACTCTTTCTGTAGGCTACCTGTCCACTACTTGTTTTGACCGGGCCTCCAGCTTTTCCTGCTGGGAACCGGCCGCTTAAAGGTGAGGGGATGTGGTGTGGAATTGATGTTGGCCTGTGCTCGAATAGAGCTCTACAGGAAGTTAAAGTTTGGTTGGGTGTGTTGTGATCTGTAATCCGTGGTGGTAAAATTCCATAGGATGTTAGGGATTGGGTCCCTACGGTTGTCCTTGTAGTCTGTAAAAAAAAGTTCCCATAGATTTAGCCGTCCTATTCTCGGGATAATTATTTAGCTCAGATGAGGGGTCTGAGAAAGTAATTGGTGGGGAAAAGACGCGGTTATA